CTGATCATTCCACTGAACCCTGTCACCTTTCGACCACCATCTTTCCCCCTTCCCTCCTTCTTCCCGCATTCTCCTATTTTCCCCTCAAAAATACTTCCCTTCTTTCCCCCTGAGCTAATGACCCCACCTACACACCTTTCTTTTTTTAAAACTTATTTCTTTATTTGAACATGAAACCCTACACTAAACAGCACTGAACAGTACAAAGGAGAGGAAGGGTTGGGGGTTAGGGAGGGGGTGTTCTTTAAACAGAATAACACCTACTGGAGTCAGATAGACCTAGATAAATCAAAAGGTCTATTACTACATTTAGATAGATAAAATGATTAAATTTTTTACAGAGAAATTTCTTTGAACAGATTTTAGAAGAAGAAAAATGAAGTTTCAAGAAATAAAATAGAAATTTTCCAAAAAACATTCAGATCTTCTAAAATTTAGAGCAGTCTAAAAACGCCCACTATAGACTTTTTAAAATGCTTTGTCACTTAAATTTACGCCGATAATACCTTTATGAATAATTTGTCAGTTTTAGATAAATGCCTATATCAAGAATAGAAAAAGGAATGAAAAAAATATTTTAGAATTGATGAACAGTTGAACAAAGAAGGGTTAAGTAGGTCTACTACTGGTTGGTTGCATTCACCTTATGCATGAAGAATGATGATAGATAGATAGAAAGGAAGGAATAAAGGTAGGTAGATAGATGGGAAGGAATGTATATAGGTAGGTTAATAGAAAGGAAGGAATAAAGGTATGTAGATAGATAGAAAGGAATGTATATGGGTAGGTTGATAGAAAGGAAGGAATAAAGGTAGGTTGACAGATAGGAAGGAATGTATTTAGGTAGGTTGATAGAAAGGAAGGAATAAAGGTAGGTTGACAGATAGGAAGGAATGTATTTAGGTAGGTTGATAGAAAGAAAGGTAGTTAGATGTCGTAATCTGAGATAGGTTTGACCTCTTTCATCAATACCTCAGATTACAATATTTGTGAATAGATAGATATCAAGATAGATATCAAGAAAGATAGATACCAAGATAGATAGATACCAAGATAGATAGATATCAAGATAGAAAGATAAATACCAAGATAAATTCATACCAAGATAGATAGATAGATACCAAGATAGATAGATATTTAAGATATAGATACTGTAATTCTACTTCAAGAAATGAAATCTTCAGTCAAAATAATCAATTTCTATAAAAATTTTATTTCTTGGACTTTTTAAGACGAGAGACACCTTACAGCATAAACTGAGAACAAAGGCAGAGTTGGGTGTGGGGTGTTTATTTTTCGTGTTTCTTAAATTATATTCTGTAATAAATGAATACAACACAGAATGTAAGAGACAGAACAATTTCTAAAGGGACTCCATTTACGAAGTGGAATGTCCAATTCACAACGGTGCCTTTAAACCTCGTTCAGTTTAACAATGAGGAAGATATTGTGATTTTCTATCAAAAAGTGTTAAATTTTGTCCTTTTTGTTCAATTTGTCTTTTCAATTTAAAAAAAATTCAGCTGGACAACTGCAGATATTTCATTCATCCTTATTCAGCCAAATATTTAAAGGGTAGCGTTGTGAATCAGATATGCCGTTCTAAAAATTGAGTTTTACTTGAATTTAATTAAGTACGTTAATCAAAATTATGAGAAATGAAACTTGCAAAATATAATTTAAAAATAGGAATTATTGAGGTATTTCTTCCAGAAACCTGACTAACAAGGAACTTAAATTCAAATAAAGATTTTATTGAAAATAAATTCAAGAAATAAGTCAGGGAGAAAAATAATCGCTTTTTGGGGAAAATTAAAAATTTTAGAGAAAATTTGTCGTTTGATGTTCAATTTTTTATCTTTTCAGCCAAATAATTCTTTAAAATGTTTTCATATAATTAAATTATATTTAGTGCTTTACAAATTTTGTTACAGCATAAGGTATTGGAGCTTAGATAATTTAAACAGCATGAAATCTGAGCTTTAAACGCAGGGTTGAGGCATTGAGCAAGTATTTTACCAGGAATTAGAAATGAGTCATTGAGCACTTTAAATAAGTTGAGTCTAGCTGAAATCTGAGCTCAAGGATGAATCAAACACAAATGAGGAGGTAAATTAACCCCGAAAAGGGGCAAATTAATCTTAATAAAAATCTCCCCATTTCCATTAAAATGATTTTTACATTTTCATTTTTTGTTAAATACGGCTCATACTGGCTGCTTTTCCTCGTTTATTACAAATTCTAACCCAAAAGTTCATAAATCTTAGGCTTCCCCAATTCAGTATATACTGAAACAATATGCATAACTGAAGAGAAACAATATTCCACTGTACACTTCTTGGATCCTGCAGTAAAAGTATGCAATGTCTAAGATTATATGGATTATACCATGAAGTGTGTATGAGTACTGAGAAAACACCAGGAGTAATCAGAACTGAGAAAATAGTCCAAGGGGTCAAAACTTTTAAATGTCAAAACTGTTCATACCCAGCTCGTAATTTTTTTTTTGTATTCTTACGTTTTTTTGTATTCCCGTAAAACCCCTTATTTCTGGCATTTGCCATTTTTTGCTGTGCGCAAATGCCCCGTAAAATTCCAAAACAGAGAGGGGGATTGAATTTTGTAGATCCAGAAAAATAATATCTGTGGGATGCCTGCGTAGAGACTGGAAGCTGGTGCGGTCCTAAATTTAAGACATGTGGCCGCAGCGCTCGGCCCCCTAGCCGCAGCGCTCGGCCAAGAAAGTGTCATAACTTGACCTAACCCGTGGCCGCAGCGCTCGGCCCAGAAAGTGTCTTAACCTAACCTAACCCTAAATAAATACTAATTTAATTATTTTTCTGGATCTACAAAATTCAATCCCCCTCTCTCTGTTTTGGAATTTTACGGGGCATTTGCGCACAACAGAAAATGGCAAATCCCCTTATTTCTCCACTTAAATATACCATTTTTATCAGAGCAGATTTTAGTGTTTAAGAATTTGAATTGAATAAACAAGTCCTATAACCGGTTGAGTTTGGTTTAATCTACATTCCAGCCTCTTAGATTAAGAAATAGGTCATTGTTTGTAAATAAAACCGCATATTATCACTCAGTATGGTGAAATAAGAAATATTTAACAGAGTGAATTAATAATATCCTATTAATTATTTTTTATATGGCAACTTAGTGCAATATAGCTTATTTGCTGCTATACGCAGAGTTCATCTGTTTCTAAGGCGCCTGGCTACTTCTCTTGAATTTATTCAAAACCATCATATTTTAAATGTTCCATTGGAAATTATTAATTTTTTGAAGGTTCTAATATTGAATATATTTTATTCCGACAAAACACAGGTTTTGGCGGCAAAATGTAACAAACCAAGATTCCTAGCAAAAATGAAATTTTTTAACCCTTAGTAAAGGAATGATAAATTGGGCCTTACTCATCACTTTTTAGGGGTCGCCTGCAAATAATTAACTAAATAGATAGATAAATGGATAAAAAATATATAGATAAAATTTGGATAGAAAGATAGTTCTAGTTGTACAAGATTGGACTAGAATTGTAATATAGTGATTCCTAAGTATTCTCATTCTTGGCAGAGCTAGGCACACACACAGATGAGACATGCTGAAACNAATGAGGAGAGGGGGGAAGGAGGTGGTGGATTTGAGGAAAGAGGGGAGAGATGGGAATGAAGTATAAAGGTTGAGGGAAGAAGAGTAGATGGTGGGATGAGGAGAGAGCTAGATGGGATATTGCGGATTGGATTTGAGGAGATAAAATTTTGCGAATAACATGGATTGGGATCCAAGAATCTTAAATATTGTGGATCCATTGGATTGAGATCCAAGGAGCATAAATGTTACTGATCCAATGAATTGGGATCCAAGGAGCTTAAATGTAGCGGATCCAATGGATCGGGATCCAAGGAACTTAAATATTGCGGATCAAATGAATTCGGATCCAAGGAGCTTAAAAAATTGAAGATCAAATGGATTCACATCCAAGGCGATAAAAGGTTGAGAATTCAATGGATCCGGATCTAGGGAGCTTAATTTTTCGAATACCATTGATCCGGATTAAAGAGCTTTAATGTAGCGGATCCAATGAATCCTGAAAAAGGGAGATAAAATGTTAATGATCCAACGGATCAGGAACAAAGGAGCTTAAATTTTGAGGATCCAATGGATTGGGATCCAAGGAGCTTAAATGTTGCAGATCAAATGGATTCGGATCCATGGAGCTTAGTGTTGTAGATCAAATGGATTAGGATCCATGGAGCTTAAATATTGCGGATCCAACGGATTGGAATTCAAGGAGCTTAATGTTGGAGATCCAATGATTCGAAACCATGGAGCTTAAATGTTGCAGCAGATACAATGATTCGGAACCATGGAGCTTAGATGTTGCAGGTCTAGCGAATTGGGATCCAATGATCCAATAGATCTGGATCCTTTGCACTGAAATATTAAATAAAAATTACCTGCGCTATTGGAATATCGTAGCTTGCTCTGTCGAATATTGGAGAATTATCATTAATATCTTCAATTACAACAGTTATAGTACACACATCTTCCAGGGAGGGTCGACCCTTGTCACTAGCCTAGATAGATAAACAAATAGAAAGATAGATAGTTAAATAGTTAGATAGATAGATAGATAGATAGATAGATAAATAGATAAATAGATAGAAAGATAGATAGATGGATAGATAGATAAAGATGGAAAAATAAGAAGATCAATTGTTGTTTTTCTTTTCATTTTTAATGCTTCTTTCCAAAAAATTTCGCTTCAATTGACTTGTCCCTTTTGCAGCTTTTTATTTACGATATTTAAAAAAGGTTTTAAACTATAAAGAATAATGGCAATAAATAATTCAATGTAATTAATGAAAAAATTGATATTATTTTTTACCATTAAAATAAAGGAATTATGAAGTAATAAGATAAGATGAAATAAAATGAAATAAATGAAGTAAATGTAGTAAAATGAAGTAAATGTAGTAAAATGTAGTAAAATATAGTAAAAGGAAGTGAAATTAAATAAAATGTAGTAAAACGTAGTAAAATGTAGTATAATGAAGTAAAATGTAGTATAATGTAGTAAAATGTGGTAAGATGAAGCATGAAATTTAAAAAAACTACAAATGAAGTCCAATAAAGTCCAATAAAGTTCAATCTAGTCCAATGTAGTCCAATGTAGTCCAATGTAGTCCAATGTAGTCCAATGTAGTCCAATATAGTCCAATGTAGTCCAATGCAGTCCGCTGCAGTCCAATGCAGTTCAATGCAGTCCAATGCAGTCCAATATAGTCCAATGTAGTCCAATGCAGTCCAATGCAGTCCAATGCAGTCAAATGTAGTCCAATGCAGTCCAATGCAGTCCAATGCAGTCCAATGCAGTCCAATGTAGTCCAATGTAGTCCAATGTAGTCCAAGGTAGTCCAAGGTAGTCCAATGTAGTCCAATCTAGTCCAATGTAGTCCAATGTAGTCCAATCTAGTCCAATGTAGTCCAATGTAGTCCAATGTAGTCCAATGTAGTCTAATGTAGTCCAATGTAGTCCAATGTAGTCCAATGTAGTCCAATGCAGTCAAATGTAGTCCAATGCAGTCCAATGCAGTCCAATGCAGTCCAATGAGTCCAATGTAGTCCAATCTAGTCCAATGTAGTCCAATGTAGTCCAATCTAGTCCAATGTAGTCCAATGTAGTCCAATGTAGTCTAATGTAGTCCAATGTAGTCCAATGTAGTCCAATGAAGTCCAAGGTAGTCCTAGGTAGTCCAATGTAGTCCAATGTAGTCCAATCTAGTCCAATGTAGTCCAATGTAGTCCAATGTAGTCCAATGTAGTCCAATGTAGTCCAATGCAGTCCAAGGTAGTCCAATGTAGTCCAATGAAGTCCAAGGTAGTCCAATGTAGTCCAATGTAGTCCAATCTAGTTCAATGTAGTCCAGTGTAGTCTAGTGTAGTCCAGTGTAGTCTAGTGTAGTCCAATATAGTCCAATGCAGTCCAAGGTAGTCCAATATAGTCCAATGTAGTCGAATGTAGTCCAATGCAGTCCGATGTAGTCCAATGTAGTCCAATGTAGTCCAATGTAGTCGAATGTAGTCGAATGTAGTCCAAAGTCCAATGTAGTCAAATGTAGTCTAATGAAGTCAAATGGTCAAATCTAGTCAAATGTAGTCAAATCTAGTCAAATCTAGTCAAATGAAGCCAAATGTAGTCAAATCTAGTCAAATCTAGTCAAATGTAGTCAAATGTAGTCAAATCTAGTCAAATCTAGTCAAATGAAGCCAAATTTAGTCAAATCTAGTCAAATGTAGTCAAATCTAGTCAAATCTAGTGAAATCTAGTCAAATGAAGCCAAATGTTGTCAAATCTAGTCAAATGAAGCCAAATGTAGTCAAATGTAGTCAAATCTAGTCAAATCTAGTCAAATCTAGTCAAATCTAGACAAATCTAGTCAAACGAAGTCAAATGAAAACAAAAGTAGTAAAATCTAGAGAAATCTAGCCAAATATATCAAATAAACAAAGAATTCTTAAAACCTCTAGAGCATGAAAAGAGTTTGTTTTGAAATTAATATGTTTGTTTACCCCTGCTGCCCGCTGTAAAACAAATGTTCGTCAGAAAACATCTAACTATCTGGAGAGACTGAATGAATCTAAAAAACTTGCTTAGACGAAGCGGATTAAAATTGAAACTGCTGATACAGAAATTTTAAATTGAAGATTTTAGTTCTTATTTTAACTGAATAGTGAGTCATCAAATAAAATGCTGAAATGATTATTTTAAACAATTGTTATATTAAGCACAATAAAAGTATAAGTTACAGAGAGTTGATAAACTAAATGAACGAATAAAAGAATAAATGAATGAAAGATGAGAAGAAGAACGAGTGAAAGGATGAATGTATCAATGAATGGAAAAAAATATGAATATCTAAATGAATGAATGACAGAATGTATACCTTCACTGTAACATGAACCTCTTTCTCCCGATCAGGTTCATCTCGGTTAAAAATCTAAATAAATAAAAAGATTATTTTACAAAATAAGAATTCTTAATCCTAAATTTCTAATTTATACTATTTATCTTGTTTTATACATATAACCGCTTAAGTGTCCAGCGTTGCCGGTGGAATAAAAACTCTTTTGAAAGAAAAAATTCCAATTTTTAAAGAATGTCATTTTTTAGCCTATGTTACCCCCCCCCCCCCCGGGGGTATCCATGGGTTCCCTCAAACAATTTCAGCCAATTTGGTTCCAGCCGTTTGGTCAGCTATAGCTCACATATAAATATATATATGAGCGAAGAGCTTTATTAAATAGAGAAGATAATCTTTCTATTTTAAGGTTATTTTGTCGTCTTAACCGATGTTTTTCTTTTAACACAGCCTACAATAACATTCGGGGTTAGTCCCACCCTGGATGATACTTCTAAGATGACTCGAACTTAGCGTTTTTAATCCTTTTCAAAACCGATCGTTTTAACACCTTCGTCATTTATGGATCGTTTTGAATTCGTTTATGGATCGTTTTTGGATCGCTTTGGATCGTTTTTGTTTCGTTTTTTGCCTATATTTTCTGTCAGGGTTAAAGTTTGATATACAGTCAGAAAAGCAAATGTTTAAAAAGAAAAATTTTGAAAATAATTGGTTTTTATGCAAATAGCGAATTTAGAGCCTACAAGAAAATATAGGCAATAAACAAACTAAAAATACACATTACTACTCTGACTCTGAATTTTGTCTAACATCTTTCTTGCATTCAACTTTGTGAAAAACTATTTTTAAGACAAAACCGCCATTTTCAACAAATGGATCGTCAAAGAGTTTTAAGTCCTCAATTAAGTCTCAATCCTTTGTAGATATCCACGTTTTACAATAAAGATAATTTATGAAATTTAAGGATATATTGATTAGAGAAAAAGGATACTTATTAAAAACATTAAATTTTTCAAGAATCTATCTTTCAAATGGGGGTTTTATTTTAACCTTTAAAAACCCCGTAATTACAGCTGGGAAATAAAATAAAACTCACGTGGATATTTATTGCCCTAGGGGAAATAAAATAAGGCTCAAGTGTAAATTTACTGTCAAGGGAAATGAAAACAAACAAATAGTAGAGGAGGGCCAGCCAAATTAAGTAGGAGAATGAACTTAATTAAAATACTGGATTACCTTTTTTAAATGAAACATTTTCAGATGAGACATGAAAAAAATATGATTAAATATTAAAGAAAATAAATCTTTTGAAATCTCAACAAAGAAATGTTTCAATATTTTCTAATTTTCATTTTTTAGCATAATTTTACATATTTCAATATTCTAACTTGATTCATAGTTGATCAGACAAAGCTTTAAATGGTACTGTTGTAAATGAAAGGTACCTTCAAATTACACTTACAGTCACATTAGTTTAAATCTATTGCTTCAGCGACGGTTCAATATTAGACGCCAAAAACTTGCTTGGTAATCTTTTTCTTTAGAAGTGAAATTAAAAATCGATACTTAAAAGAATGATATTTGTAAAAAAAAAATTTGGTCAAAACATTTTAAGAAGAAGAAACAGAAATTGGTGAAAATAAGACAAGGAAATGAGCAGGACAGGGGATATGAAATAATGGTCTAAATGGTTAGTTCGTGGGAATGTGGAAGAGGTGGGGCAGCCTCCCACTACAAATAGAAATCCACACACAACCTGAACTATACAACTATTTACACTAATTCACCCGCGGGGGTAAAAACTTGAAGAACCAGAGAAACATTGGAAAATCAATAGGTCAAACTTTTAATGGTGGAAGGAAGGATTCCTTGATCGATGGAGGGATTTACGAATTAATTGATGAGTTGATTGATTGATGGGTTCGTCGATTTTGTTTTATTATTTTACGAATTGGATTCAGTTTTTTTATCTGTATTAGCTGCTAGATTGATTGATCATAACTATTAACTACTTTACAGGGAAGTTATGGAGTTTCACTTTACCAAGGGTTCCAAAGACCAGTTTTGCCTACAGAACATGTCGAGGGAATCCTTGGTTAAATATAATTTCAATTTTCTAAAAAAGTGGTTGTTAACAAATTATCGTCTTTTGAGATGCAAATGCGGCGCCAATTTTTTCACGACAACTTCGCAAAACGGGTCGTTATTTTACTTATTTGTCCCAAGGGACGTAAAGTAACATGTCTCTGCAAAATTGATTATTAAAAGATTTGATAAGTACATTTTGAACAAAGAGCGTAACGACAGTGGTTTAACTTTATCGCGGAAGACTGAACAAGAAGAAAAATCAAGGAAGTTACATTCAATACACAAAATACATTTATGAATAGATCATCTTTCAGGGTAGACAATATGTATGCTTAGTCTCTTCTTAGGCTTTTTGAAGCTTTTCTTTAGGTTCAGATTGAATTGTTATGTTTCAACGGCGGTGTACCGTTTTAATAATTTTCTTGTGTAACAATGTAATTATTCTTCTCATTTTTATTGCTTTTTTATACTTACATTTATATATTTTCTAGTTCTTTTTTTCTTTTTCGCTTTTTAAGAAGTTAGTATTTCATATTTCACCAATATGTACAAACTATCCATCTGAGAAAAATTAAAATTTATTTTTAAACCCTTTTTAAAATTTAATCCGATTTGTGTCAAATATCAACAAGAAGCCACGGTTGTAAATAAACATATTTTTTAAACAGAAGTTCTAATCCATTCAAGATGTTGTGAATCGGGCATGCCACTCTGAATACTAAATGGTCCCTTAAAACCACGCCTACAATCCCTTTCAAGTATTTTAGTTTTTATCTGATACAATGTGAGGTTGCAAAACTGTTTTTGTAAATTGTGCAAAATAAAATTGGATGGAATTGCACAACTTTGGATTAACCTGAAAACCACATAACTCAATTTGATTGTTCATTTTAAATTAAACCAGATTTTAGTTTTATTCTAAAATGAAAAATATTAACTAAACTTCTAAGAAATATGCTCATTTCAAGTAAAAATATTTGTTTTAAAAATTATCCACACCCCCCCCCC